CAACCATATGTGAATTCATGAACACCCACTCATAATTCCCTCCATGTGTAATATCTGAATCCCTTCTCCCTCGGAATCTTTTTTCATGACTCCCTTCATACTTATCATTTGAAGCTCTTTCAAGCTTACATTTATGCCTTTTTATATATGGATCATCAAATGGTATCATAATGTCATCATCTTTCCATTGCATTTCAGGTTGCCAATGGTGGTCCCTACTTCTTACAACATCCACACGATCATCACAATCAACTGTGTAATCTTCTCTATCAAAAGGTTCAGAATCATCATATCTAAATCTTTCACTCAATTCCCCTTCATATCTCCTTTGTCTTCCATATAAACTACTTCTAGGCATCATGTCATCATGCCATCTTCCATTATTGATATGGGATTCTTCCCTTTTTGGCAAATGGTTATTTAGTTCAGAAGATGGACTACCAACCTTCCTCTCATTTCTTCCAGAGCCTCTAAATTTCCATCTGGTATATGCTTCATGATTTACATGTTCATATTCATGTTTTTCCATGTCATTATAAGCAAAAGATCTAAACTTTTCACCTTTTATATCTTGGGAATATTCCCGTTCAAGAAAAAATTCATCATGTATTCCTTTATGTCCAAAATGCACATTATTTCCTTTCCTTTTACCAAACTCATTCGTATATCTTCTTTGTTCATCATAATATTCCTCCTCTTCTAAACTTCTGAAAACGGGTCGACCCATTTTGGGTCCAAATCTTTCATAATCAGAAAACCTTTCACCATGGTAATAATCAAGAGGAGGTTCTGATTCTTTTGAATATAACATGCCTTCCTCATTATAAGGATCAAAAGGATGCAGTCTCTCATAGTCATAGGTCCTATGATTATATACAGGAGTATTGTGTCTTCCATGATATCTATGCTCCCCATGTTTTCTTTCTTCATCTCTTCTTCTTGAGAAGATGATGTCATCATTTTCATGGTGATATTTGGGTTTAGAAACTTTACGGGTCCTATCGTTATATACAGGACTATGGTATCTTGAATGATATCTATGGTACTTATCTGATATTTTCAAGCCCTCTGAATGATGATAACCAGGCTTCCGTGACCGAGTCAACTCAGTAGATGAACACCTCTCATGACTATAAGATTTCCACCTATCTTCAAATGATTTGCAATGGTTTTTAGGGCTCTTTTCAGCCTCTGATGATTCTGCAGGCATTATGGATAGGTCTGTGGTGCATGTATCCTCACCTGTTCTTTCCTTTGTGTTGTCTGAAGTTTTGATTGCTTCATCAGTTCCTCCTGAACATTGATGAATTTCATTTTTTTTAGAATCTTGTGTCACAGGCTTACTTCTACTTCTTCCATTAGAACCCCTAAACACATTCAAAACAAAATTTTAATTGGAAAAAACTAAAATAAGGTAAACACAAATAGCATGAGGTTATTGCTCTCACCTTTTAAGGGCATCTATATCAGTCTCCAAATGATTCCCTTCAATAGATTCATCTTCACTTGAACTACTAAAAGAAAGATGATCTGTTCTATCATCCCCACTAACATCTCCATGAGTAGATGCTTCTGGAACAGAACTCTCAAGATTACCTGATCCTTCTTTTACAGACTCACAACAATGTTCCTCTGGATCCACAATGGTGATCTGATACAATCATGTCATCATCAATGAAATAAGAGATGTATGTAATGTAGCTACTACAAAACCTCAGTCAACAAATAGGTAATAAAAAAAAATCCATACTTGTATAACATCTGAATCACGATCCAGTTGACGCCTTATATCCATGGATGATTGTCGTTCAACAATGCTGTCTTCTACCTGAATTGCCCTTCCTTTCATCTGAAACAATAAGTATGCAGTAAACAACCAAGAATTTATAAGGATTGTGCATTGATCTAGGACTGGAACTGATGTCAGTGGGAGAAAAGACGTAAATGCCCTTCTAATCCTCATCATCAAAATAGTGTCTAGTACACTTTAATACTTTATCTAACTCACCTCTGTTAATTGTGTAGGCTCTGACACTGGACTCCCACTTGACATTGGTCCTCTATGACGATATTCATCCTGCCAATAACATGACATAATTTTTCTCCATTAGAGGTTCTGAAACAACAATTACAAGAACCTTAACAACAAAAAAACACCTTTTTAAGATATAGAAAGATAGGCACTTTATTAAAGAGTTACAAAAGTTAACACAAGAATAGAAGTCTTTACCACTTGGTTGCAATAAAGCTTCCAAGTATCTTCATTCAACCCAAAATTGAAATAGTCTGTTATATCTGCTCCAGGATGCTTCCAAGGCTTCTGCTCAAATACATCAATATTTACATCTAGTATGCTCCTGTAAGATACATAAAGACATACACTTTAATAAAGAATCAATAAACAAATGTGAAAAGAATCTAGACATGGAAATAAAGTTGTATTTTTTACACATTACACATTGCACATTTGCACCTTTTTTTTGGATGTTCAATACTCACCTAGACCAGGGAAGTGAGAATCTTTGTGCATGTTGAGGTCCCATTGACCGCTGACTATACCCATTATCCTCCCGAGACAAATAAGCTGCTGCAACACTTCCATTTCCTTTTGATTCACTTCCATATGCTGCTGATTGAGATCTTGAATACTACCAACAAAAATACAATTAGAAATTAGAGCTCCAAGTTTAAAACAAAAACAATGCATTTCAAATCCTACACTTACATAGTTACATTTTTCCATTGGAATCAAATACTTACACGGTGTGTTTGGATGTTAGTTTTGAAAGTGATTGCGATTTCAAGTATCAGAAATCAATTAACTAAAGCAAGGGACTTGTAAGCAATGTTACATTTGTCCCAATCATTAGTTTTCTTACAACAAGTTCTTCCTTGTTTCTCCAACTCTGATTATTATCAAAAAATTCATATTCCATGATCAATTTTGCCTCAACACTCAAACCTCATTATTGGGATCATCATTGTGGTTGCAAGTCACAATAATCAGTTTAATCACAATCCACACCAGAAGACTTGGAAGTCAATTGCAATACAATCTCCATAAGAAACTAACTTCGAACAAGAATTTAACCAGAAATACGATGCATGTAACTTCAATCGAAACCTATAAAGCTAATATGCTCAATTTCAAATTGAACGTAAGCTGAAGTAAATTTGCAGACACCGAAGATGATTTCAATTGAACTATAAAGTTGGAGTTCAATCCATATAGTAGCATAAACTAATGATATGTACTCAAATAAAGTTCATGATCGAAAGAACACCTTGTACAGTGAATGCGAATTACCGACCGCTTTCCCTCCCGCAATTTCTTCTTTACCGATATTATCATCGTCTTCATCTTCTAACTCTCCACTCCGCAAATTTGTATTAGTCCGTGAAATTGTTAAACCCTCCCCATGCCTTACACTATCATCGTCGCTATTCAAGACGATATTCAAATCATCATCGTCGTCTTCGTCGTCCTCATCGCCATCACTTACTCCGTCCTCTTTATCACTACTCGCCTCTAAAGCACTGTTCCGCTTACCAGTTTCATCGCTTACAAACTGTAATAGAGAAAATTGTGGAGCAACATTCATGGCTGAGCTTGCTTCCACTTCAACATCTGCGTATAAATCGCCGAAATCATCATCCACGTCCTCCATTTCTTGGTTATAAAGATAAAAGTCGTTTGATTTTTTCACGAAATGGAGTGTTTTACCGAAGATTGTTGCATTTTAGCAAAACCCTGAGAGAAAACCTCTCACCCAACCACTCGTGTGGGTGAAGAACTGACGATTATGAAAGATTTAGGATACCGTGCACCCTTTATGAAATGTAAGGTGGTAATGTGAAAGATTTCTCTTGGAAAAACCCTAAAACAGAGAACCTTAGGCTTAAACCCTAATTATTATATGTTCACAAATATATCATTTTTCTGAATACGATTTAATGTTTTAACCAAATTTGAAAGGAACAATAAGAAATGAATATTATTTTTTAAACAATGTTATATTCTGTAATATTACGAGTTGTGCAACGACTTTCTATTTTTTTCAAAATTGAAAGTATTGAATTTTATAATCACTAAAAATTCATAAGATTATTGTTTGCGAACTATATTATATGTTATGGAGTTGTGTGGCTTGTGTTTGTTTAATGTGATACTAGTTGTTTTGCCCATGTAATTCATTTAAAAGAAAAATTAAATATGAAATTTAAAAATCTGAGAAATTTGAATTTATATGAAAAATTAAAAAAATATTGAATTATTAAAATTAAAGTGTTTTTTTCTTTTAAATTTAAACAAATAATTTAGATAAATAGATAAAAGAAACTAATGAGGCTTTAATTTAAAATTTTTGAAATTAGAAGGAAAGTCAATTAATAAAAATGATATATATTTATTATTTCATTTAGTGCAATTATTACATTTAAATAATGAAAAAAAAAACAAAATCAACAAATATGTCATGTGGAAAAAAAAATTAATTAAAAATAACCACAAAATGACATGTGGTCAAATCAATAAGAGTGTGACATGTGGCAAAAAGATTTTCATTTATTATAGTAGATTAGTGTTCTTCACATCATTATTTTTCAGATGTTTTTTTAAATTGTTTATTTTCTAAGTTTTCGTAGTGACATTGTTCCGCTAAAATACCATCTTACCAATTATTGTACTTTCAAACCAAATAAAATTCTTATGTGGTATTTTCAAGATATTTTCGAAACCTTATGAATTCTTGTAAGGATATATATTCTTCCAAATTCTAAATATATATTCTTCCAAACTCTAAATATTACTTCTATATCCTTATAAATTTTGATATTACATGTATATCTTTCTAAAAATATAAAAATTACATCTATATCCAAAATCAATTTATAATTAGAATTATATCAATTTTTATTAATTTTTTTATCTAATATTCAAATTTATATATTAGTTTACCGATTTACCCTTTTTATCTATTATTGATCGATTTATCTATCTTATGCATTACTACGTATCTTCTGTCCAACAATTCAACACTCCCTTTACTATATCCCTCGCATTCTTCTTACAGACCTCTACCGACTACACCTCTACAGACTACCACCACCTTCAATCACATCAACAGAGCCTTGAGTAAGCCAAAGGATTAAACATTGTGTTCTATTTGGGTGCCCAAATGATTGGTTATGGGTCTGTGATGATCAGTTTATCAATGATTTTAGCTTCAAAAGCGCAGACGAGGGGTTTGGACGGAATCGGAGTTGTGGCGGTGCCCAGCACCGGAATCAAGTCATATACAACAATAACATCTCTTCTGAAGAACCAATTTGAACTCTTCCTGTTGATAATCACGTCCGGGTGTTCTTCAACCAGGTTCGTTACCAACCATCTCCTCAATATGCACTTGAAGTTTTGTTAATCACAGACTGCTCACTCATGGTTCGACGTAATGCCCAAGAAAAACATCATGTCGTATAACATATTGATCGGAGGATTTGTGCAAAGTGGCGACTTGGATACAGCACGCCAAATGTTCGATGAAATGCCTGAAATAAATATTGCGACTTGGAATGCCTTGATTGCAGATTTGACCAGTTTCGAATGTAATGAGGAAAGCTTTGAGCCTCTTCTCCGAGATGTTGTGGGGTTTTATCCCGAGGAATTTACACTTGGCAGGTGAGATCAATAATCACTTCTTGATTTCTTTTCCTTCTTTTTTCAAAAGTTTATGCCTTTCTTACAACTAGAATTCATCAATGGCAGTATTCTTCGTGGATGTGTTGGCTTAAAAAGATTAATTGTTGGCCAACAGGTTCATGCCTATGCTATTAAAACATGAGGCGAAGTTATTGTAGGGAGTTCACTTGCTCACATGTACATCAAATCAGGAAGTTTATCAGAATGAGAAAAGGTGATAAAATCCATGCCCTTTCATATTGTGGTTGCTTATAACACACTTATATGAGGGAGAGTTCAAAGTGGATCTTCAAAAGAGATGTGTTTAGGCAATGTATTGAATGATGCGAAGATAATGGATTGGGCAAATCGATCAAGTCAAATACAACAATCACAATATGGAGTTGGTTGTTATATTTTGGTGTTATTGCTAGTCTTTTGTCAAAGAGTTACATGTTAGGTTATTTTTGGTTTTTTACATGTTAGGTTATTCTGTTTTTTATTCCACCATGTTTCTGGTGGTTTTTCTTTTCTCTCATATAATTTTGCAGCATTTTATTTTCTATCCATTGTAACTTTCCCGGCAAAAACTGGTTGTTAATTTAATGCATTTTAGCCATTTAAAAAATGAAAAGTTTGGTATTATATATTGATTTATTTCATAGTTTATAGCATTTGTAATACAGGTAAAAGAAAGTACGTTGCTATATTGGTATAAAGATTGAAGTATGTTGCTATTTCCTGTAGTTTGCTAATAATCTTAAATTGATGTTTTTGGTTATACGGATTCTTATGGTTATTTTGGCATAACTGCATCGATATGGTGGGGGGCTTGTTGATATAGAAACTATACGTTCTTTGAGTTCAATGGATCCAAATAATAAGCAAAGGGTAATTTCGTCCAAAACATCTATTCAATCTGCAGTGGCTGTTGGTCCTTCAATTGCTCATTTAGATGGTTACTATGTTGGTGTTACTTCAAATCGGTTTGCTGATGTTATTACAGAAACAATCATTTTGTCAAAAAAATAGTACAAAATTGGTCATATGCAGAAAAATAGTACAAAAATGGTCCTATGCAGAAAAACATTACAGAAACGGTCCTTATGGCAGAAAAATATTACAAAAATGGTCATTATGGCAGAAAAATAGTACAAAAATGGTCATATGCAGAAAAATATTACAGAAACGGTCCTTATGGCAGAAAAATATTACGAAAACGGTTCTTATGGCAGAAAAATAGTACAAAAATTGTCCTATGCAGAAAAAATATTACAGAAACGATCCTTATGGCAGAAAAATATAACAGAAACGGTCTTTCTGGCAGAAAAATATTACAGAAACAGTCCTTACGGCAGAAGAATGGTACAAAATGGTCCTATGCAGGAAAATATTACAGAAACGGTCCTTATGGCAAAAAAATATTACAGATTCGGCCCTTATGGCAGAAAAATAGTACAAAAATGGTCTTATGCAGAAAAATATTACATAAGTGGTACATGTTGCAGAAAAATATTACATAAGTGGTACATGTTGCAGAAAAAGATTACAGATATCACCACTGTGGCAGAAAACTATTACAAAATGGTCCATATAAAAAAAAACAATTACATAAATGGTCTGAAAACAAATATAAATAGATGATCAAATTTTAAACAATTTTATCCTAAGAAAAATCATTCCAAACAAAAAAACAAAGTACTAAAAAATCCATTCAGCAAGCATTAAAGTACTGAAATCTAATCAAACTCTTAACAAAAACTCATGATTTTTTGTGTTCTTTCATCTTGCTAGTGGATGCATCATCAGAACCTTGAGATGCGGGATTTTTGCAAGTCCTTTCATGGTGGCCAAACATACCACAACGCGGACATCTATGTCTTTTCTTGGGCTCATCATGTAACGAACCAAAAATCAAGGGTAAAATTTTCATTTTTATTATAGTCAAAACATATATATCTTTTAATCCAAGTACTCCAAAAACATTGCTAATTAAAAACATTTATCAGAGTTCATCCCAAAATCACTTATTGCGGAAAACATAGGTGTGTGCGCTGCGATCAAGCCGGGCCCTTCTTTTCCAATCGATGATACCTGAAACCAAAACTATAAACCGTAAGCACGAAGCTTAGTGAGTTCCCCAGAGCATACCCCCACATAATCACATAAACCATATCAGTCACATAAGCCATGCATATAAACATATAAGGATGCCATGGAAACCCTCCAAGGTCTTACACCGGGTGCCATTGGAACCCCCACGTGGTCTTAGCTCACCGCCATGGGAACCCCCAAATGGTCTTAACTACCTGCCATGGGAATCCCCACATGGTCTTCACTACCCAAGGAAATATCATGTAAACTAAATGTACAGACATACTAGGATGCCATGGAAACCCACCAAAGTCTTACACCAAATGTCATAGGAACCCCCTCATGGTCTTAGCCTGGAATGCCATGGAAACCCCCACATGGTCTGATATCCAACTGCCTCGGGAACCCCCCCGGGGTCTTCCATACACGTATCACCGAGACTACTAGTATATCATATAAACAACTAGTATACCATATATCACATAATAGGCCATGGGAACCCCCACATGGTCTTAACTGACTGCCATAGGAACCCCCACATGGTTTTCACATAAATACATAACATATTGACAGCACATTCGCAAATAACCACTGCATGCAAGAGTCACGAAGACAACTAGCATACTACATATAACTAATTGCCATGGGAACCCCCACATGGTCTTAATCTACTGCCACAGGAACCCCCCGAGGTCTTCCATACAAATGTCATACCAACATAACAATCCACATATCATAAAATGGGCCGGCCTTGGTGCCTTAGACCTATTGGTATGGTGAGAAGACTCACCTCACACTGCTGAAGTCCCGCGAATAAATCCCTGACTGCTGGCTGACTGATCCTCGTCCTGTCAATCATTAAGACAAAACCCAATTAACCATTTGGGTTTCAATGCATAACCATAAATCCACACTTGGGGTAAATGGGCCATTTTACCCCTAACCTAGCTTGGTTCAAAACCAAGGCCCAAACTCACACCCTGAAGGCCCAAAAAGCCACATAATCAACTAAGGCCCAACATATGGCCCAATTTTCCAAATTGGGCCCAAACCTCTACATGGTCTTGCCATGAGGCCCAATCCTTTTTTCAGTCCAATACACTTTATATTCTGATGGTCCAATAATAATCCAAACACTTAAGCCCAAAATGCTAAAAACCACTCGTGGCCCAAACCATGGCCCAATTTTCCAAATTAGGCCCAATTCCTTCCGGGGCCTTTTCCAACATCTCTAACAACCCAAAACCTGATGGCCCAACAGGGCCCAAGACAAACAAGTCCAACAGCTAGCCCACACCAAATCCCAATACTCATAACTCCATCTGATTGAGTACACAGGGCATACTCAGTTGTACGCTAAGGGTACAGGCTGTTTGGCTTGTATGTTGTGCGTACAGACTTGTATGCCCAACGTACTACTCCATTAAGCCAAATCCTTATTAAGCTCTTAATGCTTGGTCTAACAAGTCCTAACCATAAACCTGAGCCCCAACTAATGTCTAAACCCATAAAGTCACTGACTTGGTGACTTTGCATGCCCCCAACAAGACCAAATAGCATTCTACTTTCATGGAAATGGCTCAAACTCCAACATAGATGGTCTTAAACTCTAAAGGTGCCAACTTTATGGACCTTGAACCTCAGAAACACTAAAAGGGGCAACTCAAAGCTCCTGGAATGAAATCAAGACCACTAGATCTCATACTTGGGACCAAAATGAACAAAAACCTATAAATGGTAGATCTAAGACACCAATGATCAAGTTTAAAGCTTTATACCTTCATCAAGCTGAAAATGAGTCACAAAAGCCAGATCCATAAGCTTCTCCTTGATCCCCATCTTTGCATCAAACTCCGCCTTCTTGGAAGTGGACCAAACACTCCAAAAATGGACTCCATAAGCTCAAAATGCCACCATGAATGATTAGAGACGATTTCTAAGGTTTTAGAGACCGGGGGCTGACTTAGAATGAAGAAGGAGGTTCAACATTATGCTTATATAGGGTACAACTCTAAGATTAGGGTTTTCAATCTGACCCTCATACGCCTATCGTACCTTTTCGTACCGCGCACCCCGATCCAATCCTTGCATATACGCTACGCTTTCCTCAAGCTACGCCTCGTGTAGTTCTTTCTCTTTGATACGCCATGTGTACCACCTTGGTACGCCCCGCGTACTAGGGCTTTTCCCAAAACCCTAATTCTTCCGAAGTCTATAACTTACTCGATACAACTCCGATTCCAACCATTCATATATCCATAGAAAGGTATCGATACGCTCGACACTAATATCAATTCTTGTCTGCCATAAAATGTCCCGAACCAAAATCCACTTCCCATAAAGACCTGAGCTGACAAATTACCGAAATACCGTTTGATCCAAAATCTCAAACTGAATACCCGAGCAATCCAAGGCACATTATCCAACTCCAACTAGGTCTGAAACCCGACCCCTCAGGTATCCGTAGCTTGATAGAACTTAATCCTTGATCACCAATTCAAAATGGGAACAATTCGAAACAGGATGTTACACATCATGTGGTATAATTCTATTCTTTTTGGGTCGTCCAGGAGGTCGTTTTATAATAGGTGGGTATATCTTCTCGATTGTCTCTATATGCCCCCACTGATCCTTTCCCGACATTGGAGCAACTTCTAAAGCATACGTTTCTTTAAATTTATGAATTGTGAAATATGTATCAACATATTTGTCCCAATTATACTCCCTTGTGAAAGCAATAAACGTAGATGCATGCACACACGGAAGACCTTTAACTTGCCAAACTCGCCAACTACATATTTTCTCATCTAATATAACCTCCCAACTTTTACCCTTGTAGTTCACTTGTGCTCGATTGTCACTGCTTCTACAAACCTCAAAGTTACCTAAGTTCTACATGAGAAAATAAAACAAGAATAAACAATAAAAGAAAAAGTTGTTATTTTTTCACAATCCTAAATAAAAGAAAAATAAATAATACATGAGAAATTTCTTGACCTTACCTTAGAGATTCTCTTGAGATAGTTCTTTGCTTTTGGTACAAGTGTTCCTTTTCATTTGTTCACAATCTTCCTTTTCTTGTCAAATCATTGCATAAGCTTTTCTCTAATTGCAGCAAGGAGATCGAGCATCAGTTTATAACGTATGTCACCTACCCAAGAGTTAAAAGTTTCTGAAATATTGTTTGTAATATAATAACACTTGAAAAGTGTACCAAACTTGCTTCTACTCCATATCTTCTTATGGTTTTCATTCAAATATATAATTGCATCTTTACGCACACTAGCAATTTTGCTTAACAATCTATCATGCTTACTAACAGAGTAGGTCTTTGCAGCACCCCATAGCTTGGTCCTGAAATAGTCACCTCTAAAATGTTTCTTGAAGTTGCTATATAAATGTCTTATGCATTCACGATGCTCAACATTAGGATAAAACTGTATAATAGCTACTTCCAATCCTTTTTACATGTCAGAGGAGATAACAAGACCATTTGGTGTATCGATTGTCTTTTGTAGTGACCTGAGAAACCAAGTCCATGATTTTGTATTCTCAGACTCAAGCACACCATATGCTACCAGAAACATGCCATTGTTACCGTCGATACTTGTGGCAGCGGCTAGCACACCATTAAATTTCCACTTCAAATGACAAGCATCAATCCCAATGTAAGGACGACAACCAACAAGAAACCTCTTAGAGCATGCAGTTAGTGATATAAAAAAATGTAAGAAATGTTTCTTGTCACCCACTGTCTGCAAATCAATCTCCACAACAGTTACAAGGTTTCTTTGTTCAAGTTCCTGTTTGAAATCATATATAGTTACATAAGAGTCATCCCACTCTCCATGCATATCACTATATGCTTGTTCTCTTCCTCTAAAGACTCTCATATATGGTACGTCAACATTGTAGCTTTGCATAAGCCACTTTTTTAGGTTGGAAGGAGATATATCACCATTAGATTTCAGCTTGTCTGTTACAAACATCACTAATTCATCCTTGAGTTGCATGTTTGTTACCACACTTGTTACTTCGAGTACAAGAATGAGTTTCTACAAATTTCTTAACCTGCAAAATTTCATAAAAACATATAATCATGTTAAGAAAATAATAATGTCAATAAATTTAGTATGTCTTGAAATGTATACTTACTTCAAAAGTAGCTTCATCTTGTGTACGAGAAGCATGGATTCTCCACTCGCACTTTTTATCTTCACAACATGTCGTAAGTCGTGTCAAATCACTTTTCTTAATGACATATTGAAATTCATTTGTTATTGCACAATGGTTTAAAGCTCTTATAAAAGCAATCACATTTGGAAATTTAGAATGCACTTTCATAACTTGACTTTTACTGCTATATGCATCGATTTTGAAATTAGAATTTAGAAGTTCGTATTCATTATCGGAACTATAACGACTATGATAGCTTTCTTCACTTGGACAATTTGAGTCTGAATCATTTTCATCATCCAATTCATCAATTGATTGATCTTGGACACTAGATGGTTTATCCCTTTGTTGTGTAATTTTTTCATTCGTCACATAAATTGTTACTTCTTTCTCCTCCTCATACATGTTAAGCATCACCATGAAGTTTTCATCAGAATCGAGTTTAATAAAACATTGTTCTTTTGCATGCTTGTCAATAAAGACTATTGACAAAACAATATCATTTTTTGATGGATAATGTTTTTTCACCTCTTCAACCAGTTGATTCAAGTTGTATGAGAATATGTCTATATATAGACTTTTTCTAAAGCCGAAACAATACACTTGCCTACATGAGTTCCTCGCAAACCGAAAAAAGCCTCCATATTTCAGTCTAAGCTTGTATGTCCATGTTACTTGCCTGATAACCACAAAGAAAAAAACAGTTAATGAAATAAATAGGAAACATAAAATATCATCCATCTTGTAGGTATAAATAATTTGGTTGTTAGAATTATTGTGGAAACTTACTCAATTATTGGGGAGTGATCACCTATCTCCTATCTCAGTGTATCAACCTCATCATCCATCAAAATTAATCAAATGTAGTAATAGTAAGAGATGGAGAAGAAACTTTGTTTTGTGAAGCAAAAGTAATCGAATGTTGATGCATAATTAAGTGAATGCAAAGTCAATCTAATGAAAATTACAATTACTTCAAACAAGATCACATACCATTTGTGATTAAGAAGATACAGTGATAACAATAGATGAAGAACAAACTCTGTTTTTTGTCAACCTAATCTGATCCAACGCAGATAATAATCGAATGCAAAAATAATCTAATGCAAATTACAATTACTTCAAACAAGATGGCGTACCTACTGTGATTAAAAGTTGCGACCTGTGCTTAGCGTGGAGCCGAGATACGGTAACGAAGAAGATGATTGCAATGTTAAAGGCGCCTTAATCGAATTAAGAGATAGGAATATGTAATCTGTTAGGAAACGTGATTTAGTTTGATATCTAATTGAGAAAGGATGATTTAATTTGATTTAATTTGAGATTTAATTAGGAAAGGGTAAATTGGTAAACTAATATATAAATTTGAATATTAGATAAAAAATTAATAAAAATTGATATAATTCTAATTAAAAATTGATTTTGGATATAGATGTGATTTTTATATTTTTAGAAGGATACACATGTAATATCAAAATTTATAAGGATATTGAAGTAATATTGAAGGTAAGGGTTTGGGCATGGCACATGAGGGAAGCGATCTGTCTTAAACAAGAAGATTTTCCGTTAGAGTTTGGAAGGATATATATTAAATTTTCCCTTCTTTTAAAATGTTATTTAGACAATAAGATTTAGAAGCTCTATTTTTTCATGAATTTTGAATGTTTTCATTACTATAATGGTGTATAAACATTATATGGCACTTAATAAAGTGCTAAATTAAGTATATATTGTAACAAAATGTATTCAAAATTATTGTATAATTTTACAATATATTTTTAATAACCTTTAAAGTTTGCGACTACATGTCTTTTAGAATTGCATTTCATTATAAAACGAGTACTGATGAATTATATTGTGACGTCTATGTTGGTGTCCAACTAAGATGAAGATGACAAAGAAAACATCTATGACATTTGTGTTAACGATTAAGCAAGCCAACAAGTTAGTTGATTTGGACGACAACCTTTAAGGGATGATAAATTGCAGGCTTTGTATGCTTACGGGCACCCGAGTTTCTATCCACCTAAGAAGAAGTTGACATGTGGTTGGTAGATTGTGGAAAGTGTGCGAAACAACTTAAGCGTTTTTATCAGTGAAGAATGGTTGAATCAATAATAAGTATATGCCAACAAATATCTAACATGTTTAATGAGTTGTAATGAGGTACTAGAAATGTTTGATTCGAATTACTTTTCTAGTGGAAGGCTGAGTATTTGAGTGTTGAAAGTTGAATCAAAATGATTGACTACATGGTGGTTGGAATTTATATAGGTTTGTAGTGCATATCTTTTGGTGTAGAAACTCAAGATAAAATATATCTTCATTATTGATATCCACACGAGCAATGCAAACAAGTGCTAGAATCCAACTAACAAATCATTTAATGTAGCAACCCAGATTTAATATACAAATATCTAAGGGAAATATCAGAGTTTTTCATACAATTGCGGACTTCTACTAAAATTAAATCACTTTAAATCACAGATTAAATAACAGTTTTACAATAAAATATATTACATAAAAGAACAACAAGGAAATACACAAATAACATCCTACTATCTATTCACTGTCCTTGTGCTCCGATCTTCTCTTTTGGTACCACGACTGCTGCTACCTGAACCTACAAAACATAAAATCTCTACTACATCAGACAAACATGTCTGGTGAGTTATTCTTTCTACTTTTCCTATTTTTCTTCTTTCTCTTATTTCTCATACTATGTTATCTAATCTCTTTCCCTAATAGCATACACTGCTATTCTTTCTTCTTTCATCTATCTTCTCTATCTTTTTTCTCTAATATTTCTTTTCTACTCTCTCATCCCATCTATCGCTTTCTCTTTCATATACTCTGTCTCTCATACACATTTTTGTAACACCGTCTTCCCAGGTATCGTTCAATCGTGGCTTATATTATATAAAAGTTTTCATTTTAAGCGGGGCGTACCCTTGGGTACGCTCAGCATAGTTCATTAAAAGTGACAGGGCTCTTTTGGAGTACGATGGGCGTACTCATGTGGTACTCAGGGCGTACTCATGCAGATCTCAAACCCTAATTTTTAGGGTTTGGACCCTATTTAAAGGATCTTAAGTCCTTGAGGCCTCCCTCGTCACCAGCCCCCTCTACCCCAAAGCACCATTTTGAACCCTAGCCACCTTGTGAGGTCCTTGAGTTCTTAAAGTGATTCTTGGTGTGTTTTGGTGCATATTGAAGAAGAATGAGTCCATTGAAGAGGTCTTGGGAAGCTTGGAGCTTGTGGATCCAGACTTGGTTTATCATCTAGCATCTTCTAGAAGTATAAAGCTTTAAACTTTATAGATTTTTAGCTTAGATCTAGCCTTCAGTGATGTTTTGGCATGTTTTTGGTCCCATAGCTTGGTTCTTGTGAGTATTTGCTACTCTGTAACCCTTGAGTGTCTTTTTAGTCATTTCTGAGGTTAATAAGTCAATCGACTCTTGAGGATTATATTTCTCCTATGCATGAGTTATTGGTCATTTTGTGAAGTTATGGACCTAGGGTTTAGTTTTGGGCTCTATTAAGCAATGCAAAAGCTTAAAGTTATCGACTTATCAATTAAGACCTTCCCAAGATAAAGATTTGTGAATTAGACGTATAGTCTTTAGGTATTAAGAACTTAATATTAGGTTTGGGTATCAAAGTAATACGTTGGGCGTAACCCAGGAGTAGGCATGACGTAACGGTTTTAGCCCTCGAACCCTCTTATGTTGACTTCAGTATGCGGGGTGTAATGGAGGAGTACGCATGGCATACTCCCTTATGTGTAGTTAGGCCATTTTAGGCCTTGGGCGATGCTTAGTTGGGTATAGCTTGGAGAGGGTAGGATGGTCTTTTACCCTTAGAAGGAGAGATTATGTGTTGGACCTTTGATTTTCAGTTATTACCCTAACTATTAATTAGGGATTGGTTTTGGTTATGACCATCATGAGGACTGTTGTAGCAACAGCTTGAGTGTGTGACTTATCTATCATCGGATTGAGGTGAGTCTCCTCACAGTATTTGAGGGTTGAAGGCACCAATGTCAGCCCATTGATTTATATTATAGGATGCTAAATGTCTGTGTTAATCTTGCATGTATTGTACGTGTTTGTATGTATACCGGGCGGGGCATGATGAATGTGTTGGGCGGGGCCCATCACATGTCACTGACAAATTTGTACCGGGAAGGGCCCGATGTAGGATGGGGCCTGTTGTATGTATGGTATGTGGTATTTTGGGGAACTCACTAAGCTTTGTGCTTACGTTTTATATTTAAAATGTTTTCAGGTACTTTCGGTTCGAAAGGGAAGGGCCCGACTTGATGACACAACATCCATCAGTGTTTTGCATTTTTATGATTTTGGATTGTACTCTGGTAACTATTTTCTACATTGGCACACTTTGTTGGTTCTCAAAATGAATGGTTGATGATTTTGTTTGGTTTAAAATAAAAAAATTTACTTAGTATTTATGAGACGTTACAAGTTGGTATTAGAGCCTTGATTTGAGGGATTCGGGAACATTATCGGGTGTGCTTGAACTCAAACTGTGGAATTGGTAAAAAGAAAAAAAATTTCTAAAGGGTTTTTGGAAAAATGGGGTGTGATCCGTGTAATCGGCCGAGCTCAAGTAAGTATTTTCCAAAATACCCATACATGTTTATTTGTTGCGGTATGTGAATATGTGTATAAGTATGCTAGATTAGGGCCAAGGATTTGCTCAAAGTTGTATGTTAGGAGAGATGCCTTTTGTATGCCTACTATATGAGCCTCTAGAATTGCATGCTAGTATGGATTACAGATGATACGTTAGGTTGGCCTGCTAGACAGTGTTTTGGTTAGAACTTGATGCTCGAATGTTGTTTGCTTTGTGATTTTAGGAACCACTGTTAATACGAGTTAACTATCAAGAGAATATACTAGGTTACATGTTACAAAAGTTAGATAATTTTATAAGGTTAGGTTTCACTCTATTGTGTAACTCTTGTTTGAGTCCACCCGTTGTAGTGTGAGACCTTACAGCCAAAAATTATATAGTGTCTGTTGCATGTAATTATATTCGTAAGATAGTTAACGGGTGTCAGTAGGGGTTTCTTCTGCAGTTGAGGGCAGAGAGTGGTGGGAAGGGAAGCCTAGGAGAATCTTGGAATTATGTTATCTTGGCAGATGTGTTGTATAGCAGGAAGGAAAAATGATTAGCAGTAAGGGAGTCACTTAAGGGAATCAAGACGACTCTTGAGGAAAGTACGGATAGGTGTGGAAGGTAGTATTGGGCCCGTACTACTGAAAGCATATGATCCATACTCGAGGCAAGGGAAGTCATGAGGATACTAAGGAACTCGCTAAGTATGGGAATTCTTTGAGTGTTTTCTGATGATTGTATTTTTATTTTCAGTATGGTGGTCACTCGAGGTGGTTCA